AATCATTAACTATGGAAACACGTCTCCCTTACCTTGGCGTGTGTTGGCGTTCGACGGCTTGTTTGAATCTACTCCGCTTCCTCCAACCTTAGGGTCTTTACCCATTCACACACACAAAAAAACAATCAATAATATATTCGTAACATCGCATTATAACTTATTTTACATATTTCTACCACAAATTAACTCATACTCCGATGACTCTCGAAACTATCTCTATATTGAGACTCCTATCTGCATTCATAAACATTTAACCTCTCATTCCACATCATCAATCATAAACCACGACCCAACTTACCATTTTCCAACCCATTTTTTCACCATTTCATTTCCAAGTTTTGGGGTTTCTTAATATCAATATTTTTCAACTACCATCTCCAAATAGACACTATATACTATGAGTTTTCGAGAAAGAAGTTGACTAAAACGAACTACTACACCAATGGAGAGAGTAAGGTCGTTTTCCAACTCTAAGAGAAGAGACACCAATAGCCATAATGAATCTCTAAGTAAGGAGAAGTGTTAAAATCAAGTGGTTTACCTCTTCTCTAGCTTCTCGTAGCTGTTATGCGAGCTCTAGCCAAGAAAATCACTTCCTCTTCTCCTTTCTCTTAAAACCCTATTCCTTTTTCGTGTTTGGGTCTCTATTTTAGGTTTTAGGATTTTAGATTCTCACCCAAGCGAGAATACTTCGCCCAGGCGAGAGATCCCGCCTTTTTAAAATTTCAAACACTGACGCTCTCGCTCAAGCGAGAATCCCACAAATAAAATTCTGGGAGGAATACTGATGCCCTCGCCCAAGCGAGATTTTCTCGCTCAGGCGAGAATCAGTCAATAGCTCCCAAACTGACTGAGTTTCACCAAGTTCCAATTATCAAACTTTTACGGGGTTACACTGAGGAATAGGCTATTCTTTTTTTTAGATTACGTTGACCCAGAGATGTTGAAGCTGCATAGATTATTTGAATGGAACCTATGATCATTAACCAGGGAGAAAATATAGAATGAGCGCGGGGTAATAATTCCATATTAATTCGAACCAATCCATACGCTCCCATTTTTAATAAGATTCCGGCTAAAAGCATACAAGTGCTGTAATGTGCTTCTCCATGGGTGTCTGGTAACCATGTATGGAAGGGTATAATCGGCGATTTGACAGCAAAAGCAATAAGAAATCCTATATAAAATATTATTTCGAGTCCTACGGGATACGATCGATTAGTTAACATTTCAAAATTTAATGTTGGTTCATTAGAACTATATAAAATAGAACCCCCCGCAGTGTATAAAAGAAACTTTGTAGCCGAATACAAACGTTTCTTCCCCCCCCCCCACATGGATAAAAGTAGATAAACGGGAATTAATTCTAATTCCCACATGATGAAAAAAAGTAAAATGTCTCGTGACGAAAAAGGTCCTATTTGACCGCTATACATTGCTAACATTAGGAAATGGAATAATCGGGATTCTCGAGTAACCGGATGAGCCGCTAAAGTAGCTAAAGTGGTGATAAATCCAGTCAGTAAAATGGGTCCTATAGAGAGTCCATCTATTCCGAATCTCCAGTAAAAATCAAAAAACTGGATCCATTTATAATTCTCCGTCAGTTGGATTAATGGATCATCCAATTTGAAATGATAACAAAATGCATAGGTTGTTAGAAGGAGATCCACTAAGCATATACAAATTGTATACCACCTAATTACCTTATTTCCTCTATGAGGAAATAAGAAAATTAAGGAACCCCCGGCTATTGGCAAAACTACAACTATTGTTAACCAAGGAAAATAATTCGTGATAAAAATAAGATACACTTGGGCCAGAAAAACCCGTACTCAAAATAGAAAAAATAAAAGATTCTTTTTTTTTTATTTTGATCACGGGTTTTTGCCAATAAAAAAACATATTCGTGTGGTGTTTTTTGAAACGTATCAATAAGCTAGACCCATGCTTCGAGTTGTTTCATGCCATAAATAAACTCGAACGCTTAAGAAATCCGTTGGACAGGCAGATTCACACCTCTTACAACCAACACAGTCCTCTGTTCTTGGGGCAGAAGCAATTTGCTTAGCTTTACATCCGTCCCAAGGGATCATTTCTAATACATCTGTGGGACAAGCTCGCACACATTGAGTACATCCTATACACGTATCATAAATTTTGACTGAATGTGACATTGGATCTATATTAATTTAAATTTTTGAACATCAAAAATATAAAATTTTCGATCTAGTAAACTCGTAAATAAATTTTATATTTAGATTCCAGATGAATCAAAAATTGATCAGAATCTTGATAATAAAAATCGAAACTTCTGTATCAATTGATAAGAAGAAGGCCAAGATACTTTGATTTCTTACGTTTCACAAACATGCTAATTTGAATTGATGAATATTACACTCTTATATCTAAATTCAACTTTTTTGAATTAATTATGATTATCAATATTATTTATTCAACAAATTCGATTGATTGATACGAGTTGATTTTCTGTTACGAGAAATTGAGGAAACAATAGCCGATCCGATAGCTGCTTCAGCGGCTGCAATAGCTATAACAAAAATTGAAAAAATATTTCCTTTTAATTGTCGACTATCAAAAAAATCAGAAAAGGTTACAAAATTTATATTAACTGCATTCAGTATAAGTTCAAGACACATAAGTGCTCTAACCATATTTCGGCTCGTGATCAATCCATAGATACCGATAGAAAATAAATAGGCACTCAAAACAAGTACATGTTCGAGCATCATTGACCAACTCCTTATCAATTTCGATTCATTTCAATATGAACAACAATTCAAGGGATTTTATTAACTAAAGAATATAACAATAACAAGTCGGGAACAAAAAAATATATTTTGGAAAAACGAAATAAATTTCTAATAAACACTTTTTCACGTTCACATAGAATTAAACTAACAATGAAAAATAAATAAATGTGATAAAATCGAACAAAATTAAATTTTGATTTATATTGCTAGGTCTAAAGATTTCTTACTGACGAGCCACAACAATTGCACCTATCAAAGCAGATAAAAGAATTATTGAAATGAGTTCAAATGGAAGAAAAAAATCTGTTGATAAATGAATTCCAATTTGTTGACTAGTACTTATCAAATCTTGCTCTATAATCTGATTTGGTCTTGTAGTCCAAATAATACCGTACCATGATGTATCTGGAATAGTAGTTATTAGTGAAACAAAAATACTTGTACAAACCATCAAAGTAATTCCATTTCCAACCGTCCAAAGAGGAAAGTCTTGGTAATATTCTGAACTATTCATGAACATCACAGCAAATATGATTAAAATGTTTATAGCTCCCACGTAAATAAGTAGCTGTGCTGCAGCTACAAAATGGGAGTTTGATAAAATATAGAATAAAGATATACAAACAAGAACCATCCCCAACGAAAAAGCAGAAAAAATGGGGTTGTTAAGTAATACGACTCCTAGACTTCCTAATACAAGACCGGATCCCAGAAAGACTAAAAGAAAATCGTGTAGCGGTTCAGGCAAATCCATTATATCTAAAAAAAATAAATCAAAATTTCATGACCTTATTGATATGACCAGGAAAAAGTTTTATATACTAAATTGATCTCTGCATTGAATTCAATCCTAAGGAGTGTAAATTGATTAGGACCAATCTCATTCTTTTCCTTATACAAAGAATACTATATACAAAAATATATAACTTTTTATATTTATAACTATTTATATATATAATTCTAATATTTTTAGAAATAAATATTTAGAATATATATATAGATAATTATACTATTTTTATTTCTCAAATTTTAGAAATATTTATATTAGAGAATATAGAATCTAATAGAATATTTATTCATTTTTTTTTTAATATTCTTTTTAATTTGAATATTATAAACAATTTTATTTTATTTGAATTGTTCTAATTGTATAATCATCAATGACTGACATTGGTAAACGGCCCAAAGCAATTTGATTATAATTCAATTCGTGACGATCATAAGTCGAAAGTTCATATTCTTCAGTCATCGATAAACAATTTGTTGGACAATACTCAACACAGTTACCACAAAATATACAGATTCCGAAATCAATACTGTAATTTAGCAATCGTTTCTTTCTAATATCCGTTTCCAATTTCCAATCAACAACGGGTAGATCTATAGGACACACACGAACACATACTTCACAAGCAATGCATTTATCAAATTCGAAATGTATTCGGCCGCGGAAACGTTCCGATGTGATTAATTTTTCATAAGGATATTGAATAGTTACAGGTAAACGGTTTGTATGGGATAAAGTAATCATGAAACTTTGACCAATGTACCTTGCAGCTCGGATTGTTTGTTGACCGTAATTCATGAACCCAGTTACCATAAGGAACATATCGTGAATATCCATGACTATTTTTTTTTGTTTCTTTCTCTTGTTTGAGACAAGTTATGAATATACAAGATCAATATTTTACAGTGAAAATAGTTGAGACGAAGTTGTTAATAATAAATTACCGAGAGAAATAGGTAAAAGAAACTTCCACCCAAGATTTAATAATTGGTCCATTCTTAACCTAGGCAACGTCCATCTTGTTGTGATAGAAACAAACAAAAACAAATAAGTTTTAGCTAATGTAATAAAGATATCAATTGTAGTTCCAAAAACTCCATATGCTTTATTTATTTCAAAAAACCCAGAATCAAATATGTACGGAATAGAGATATTCGAACCGCCCAAGTAAAGAACTGTTACAAATAATGAAGAAATTAATAGGTTTAAATACGAAGCAACATAAAATAAACCGAATTTTATACCCGAATATTCGGTTTGATAACCCGCTACTAATTCTTCTTCGGCTTCTGGTAAATCAAAAGGTAATCGTTCACATTCCGCCAGGGAAGAAATTAGAAAAACGATCAAACCTATAGGTTGACGCCACAAATTCCACCCCCAAAAACCATATTTTGATTGCGCATCAACTATATCAACTGTACTTAGACTGTTAGATAATCCTAGTCGCTGATAACATTACTGTTCCCATCGCTATTACAGAACCGTACATGAGATTTTCACCTCATACGGCTCCTCGAAAGCCTTAAATATAAGAACCAGGCCGATTATTTATCTCTTAATATATCCCTAAGATAAAATTTTGATCTATCGGACGATTCTGAATTAGACCAATTGAATTCTGTCAGTTCTAATAAAATAATAAAAAGAAATTCATTTTTATAAAAGATACAAAATAAAAGTACTTCGGAATTGATCTCATCCCTTAAAAATTAAAATTTTTAATTGTTGAGTAATAACTTAATTATTCAATAGAATACTCTCTTTTATAATTATGAATATCCTCCCCCTTTTTTTCTTTCTTATATCCCTATTCATCGAGATTTAATTCATGCCATAATTCAGAAACTAATGTTTAATTATTTTTCGTAATCGAAGAAGCTGGGGGGGGGTCACTTTTTCCTTTTTTCCTATTGTTATTTTTTTGCAAGTAAAAGAAAGGGGACTTCAAAAAATTAAAGGATTATTTCGTTCCTGATAGTCATTTATTTAATCAGTGGATAGGAGGATACTCTGGATCGGAATTGTAGGGCGTACTGTCTGATTTTTTCTACCAACTTAAAGCCCAAATTAATATTCTTTTTCGATTATGCGTAAAAGTGCTTTTTGATAATTTACGTAATCTGCGTTACAAATCCTTTGTGTATCTTGGTGTTTCTAACCATCCACTCATTTTTTTTATTAACCAACCCCCTTTTTTATCTTAATACATGTATTATCATAATTCAGATTCATACAAACTGTAGTGAAAACTCAATAAATAGGTTTGGTCTTTTCAGTCCGCTTCAAGATAGGATGCGCAATCACCCAATCTTGGGGTAAACGGATTCTTCCGCTTATAATTTTTTTAATTTAATTCTTATACATCGAAAATGAGACTCCATTTTTTTTTACTGCAATTTTTTATTATCAGCCATAAACTATATTCACTTGAAGCTGTTTTATTTCACTCATATAACTATCAGGTTTAGTTCTTCAATAAATACTAATTGCGAATAATAATAATGACGAAAATGAATCTATGGAATTTATTCTACCCCCTTCCTATAAAGAAAGGAGCACAGCAATAGCACCGAAAGGGTTCTGTCTCAACGAATCGCACGTAGAGATATTGATAACACACATAAAGTTAATGGTATTTCATAACTAATCGATTGAGCAGCAGCTCGTAGACCACCCAAAAAGGAATATTTATTATTTGATCCATATCCTGACATAAGAAGTCCGATGGGAGCAATACTCGAAATAGCAATCCATAAAAAAACACCGATATTGAGATCAGATAAAACAAAGTTATAGCCAAAAGGAATTACTGAATAGCTTATTAGAATTGATATGACTGATATGGATGGTCCGATACTGAATAAACGAATATCTCCCCTAGATGGAATAAGATTCTCTTTGAAAAGTAGTTTTGTTCCATCTGATAGAGCTTGAAGAACTCCCAAAGGACCGGCGTATTCCGGTCCAATACGTTGTTGTATCGCTGCGGATATTTCTCTTTCTAACCATACAATTGCTAGTACACTTATTGTGATTCCCAATACAAGAGTAAAAATAGGGGCAAGTACCCATAGAGTTCCATAGACCTCTTTTAACGATTCTAATTTAGAAAAAGAATTGATATATTGCAATTCTGTTGTATCAATTATCATTTCAACGATCAACTTCCCCCATAATGATATCTATGCTACCAAGTATTGTCATAATATCAGCCAATTTCATTCTTTTAACTAATTGAGGAAGAATTTGCAAATTGATAAAACCGGGTGGACGAATTTTCCATCTCCAAGGAAAACCATTCTGATCACCCATTAAAAAAATTCCTAATTCTCCCTTTGGGGCTTCAACTCTTACGTACAGTTCTTGTTTTGGCAATTCAAAAGTGGGAGATGGTTTTTTACTAATGAATCTATATTCAAAATCATTCCATTCTGGCTCTTTTTCTCTATCAAAGTAGCGGGTTTCTAAATTCTCATACGGACCGCCGGGAATTCCTTCCAAAGCCTGTTGAATAATTTTTATGGATTCGATCATTTCACCAATTCTAACTAAATAACGAGCTAATGAATCTCCCTCTTTTTGCCATTGAACTTCCCAATCAAATTCCCCGTAACACTCATAATTATCAACTTTACGCAAATCCCATTGTATTCCGGAAGCCCGAAGCATCGGTCCCGATAAACCCCAATTTATTACTTCCTCTCCACAAACAATGCCTACTCCCTCAACTCGTTCTAAAAAAATAGGATTTCGCGTAATAAGTTGTTGATATTCAACAACCCTTGTTAAAAAATAATCGCAAAAATCCAAACATTTATCTATCCAACCATGAGGTAGATCAGCCGCTACCCCTCCGATACGGAAAAAATTATGCATCATTCTCATACCTGTCGCAGCTTCGAATAGGTCGTATATTAATTCTCTTTCTCTGAAAATATAAAAGAAAGGGGTTTGTGCACCAATATCTGCCATAAAGGGTCCCAGCCATAGTAAGTGAGAAGCGATACGACTCAACTCCAACAAAATGACTCGGATATAGCTGGCTCTTTTAGGTACTTGAATATTTCCCAACTGTTCCGGCCCGTTTACGGTTATTGCTTCTGTGAACATAGTCGCTAAATAATCCCAACGTGTTACATAGGGCAGATATTGTATAATTGTTCGGTTTTCTGCAATTTTTTCCATCCCTCTATGTAAATAACCTAATATTGGTTCACAATCAATAACATCCTCACCATCCAGAGTAACAATAAGTCGAAGAACACCATGCATTGATGGGTGGTGAGGGCCCATATTTACTATCATGAGGTCTTTTTTTGTAGCTGGTACATTCATAGGTCTATCCTCGATTTATTGATTTATTTTTCCATGAATTGCTAAAACAAAAAAAAATAAGTTCATAAAAATTCAAGATCTAATAAATCGAATAATTCAAAATGACTCTTCAAATTAACGGATTTGTGACTCCCGAATACCTAACTGTTTTATTAATTTTTTATAACGTATTCCATTTTTCTTTGACAAATAAGACAGTAATCGTTGCCGTTTTCCCAAAATTTTACGTAAACCTCTTTGAGATAAATAATCCTTTCGGTGCAATTCCAAATGTGAAGTAAGTCTTCGTATCTTATTGGTGAAATTGACTACTTGAAATTCAACCGATCCCGGGTTTTCTTCCTTCTTTTTTTCTTCTGAAATAATGGGTATAAAAGAATGTTTTACCATAAAATGAAAGCCCCCCTTTTTTATAATTTTTTTTATTGATCAGTAATAGTAATGCCACTAATTTTCAATTTGATATAGACAATATAATACTCTTAAATTCCTTACGAATTCGTTATTTATTTTTTTTTTTTTTTCAAATAAAATCAATTATTATTAATTAATCAAATTAAAATACGTATAAAAAAAAACATTTAGGTATACAACAATACTCGATTTATGCATTCACAAAAAAAACTGCAGAGACTAAAAGGGGTGCTATTTTGTTGATTCATTTTTTTATTTAATGGATACATGGTTGAATTACTATTAGTATCAATTCCTCAGAATCAAAGTTAAGACACTCTTATGTTATGGGGCACATTTAGGTGTGTATCTATTGCATACCGTAGGATATATTCTGAATATCTTAGGGTAATAAAGTAATATAGAATAGAGAGTGTAGATTAACGAATCTTCAATCGAGGATACATATGTATCCGTAATAAACCGAAACGGCTTCCATTATTGGTATTAAACCAATAACGGTTTGTGCAACATAAATCTTCTAATCGAGAAATTGGCCACAGAAATAATTTCAAATTTTTTAGTTTTTTTTTTTTTCTATCAAGATCTTTATTTTTCGCTAAAACTCGACAACACTTATTGACTTTATTCTCGTTGGAAAATTTTGTTTTTCTATAAACACCCTTTTGATTTCCAGGATTGAAACAAATTAGAATTCTTAATTCTCTACGACGTCGGGGAGATAAAATCTTTTCAGGAACGAGCAAATCATAATTTTTTTTTTCTTTATTTTCTGTTATCTTGTGATCTCTTGGAATGGCTTTATCAAAAGTCTTCTTATCAATACGATCTTTTTCTGGACAGCTTTGGTTAATTTGGCGTTTACTCTTATGAATCAACGAAAAGCCTATCGTTTGATACATAATAAATTGTTGATCATTTTTTATAAACAGACGAACCGGTTCGACAATCAATATTGCTTTTCTTATCAACCTTTCTTTTGGATTTTTACGCAATCCTGTAAGAGTTAAATCTTTCTGATTCGGAATCAGCATAAGATTTAGACTTAGTTCTCCTCTTTGAATAGAGGCTATAGCAATTTCTTTTAGATTTATCAATCTAATTAGGAGACAATATACTTTGACATTATTTAGTATTCTTTGATTAAAGGAACCTCTCCAGCTCAATTGAAAACTCAAATACTTTCTTAGTAATAAATTTGGTTCTTTCTCTATCTTGTTCTTGTATTTCTTTTTCTTAATATCCCTATTGTTTGTCTTGTCCGATTCTGCGGAATCGTCTTCAATATCTTTTTCCTGGTTTGAGAGAGATGATTCAGGCTCTACTCGATCCGCGTATTTGTCTTTTGCTTGATTTTTAGTGTCTAACTCAAATTCAAGAGATTTTTTTTTTTTTGATAGTCTAAAAGTATCTATTATCTTTTTCTTTTCAGTAATGTTTTTATTTTCACTAACATTTTTATTTGTATTAAAATTGAAGAAAAGTAATTGGATTGGTATGATCCACGGGTTATTCATATATGTATTATAAAATATCAAAAATTTTGAAAATAACAAAGATTCCAGATTCGATATGAAACTTTTTTGTATTTCTACATTCATTTCTATCCAATCAAAAAACTTTCTATCGCTATTTTTTTTCATATCTATAATATAATCTTCTGCTATATAATTCGTAATATCTCTATCACCTGTTATATCAAATAATTTTTGTTTACGCGTCTTGTAATTATATGAAATCGCTTGCTTTTTATTTGCTCGGAATGGTCGTCTATATCTATAGACATGGGCGCACTTCTTATCTACATAATTAATAGATTTATATGATAAAAGATCATATCCATATTGTTTTTTTATTTTATTTGTTAATGAGTTTACTTGTTGTTTTTTGTAAGGAATTGATCGGTTTTTTTCATATGACTCACATTTTGTTAAATCTTTATTTTTAGCCATATGACGTTCATTGATTCTAATTCTATTTTTCCATTTTTTGGATACTAATCTAAACCATCTGTTTTCAGATAAATCATATTGAGAACGACCCTTTACCCAATTTATCCACTGATTAATTACAAGGTCGGGGGGGTTCCTGTGTCTTAGTTTGGAATGAAATATTCCATGTACTGCAAAAAAAGAATCTTTTACTTCATTCTTAAGAAAAAAAACTCTTCGATGATATTCAAAACCAGATCTTAAGTTATATTTACATACGTTAATAACTTGGTTTTGGGATAATTTATAAAATACATATGCCTGTGACAAAGAAGATAGGTAATTTTGTGAATTTGTAGTCCTAATATTCGAATATTTTTTTATAATTTTAATAAGTTGAATTATACTTTGACTTGTTTTATCAGTCCCTTCTGCATTTGCTTTGTTATTGTAAATCGATTTTTTTTTTTTGTCAGATTCACGAAAAAGTTCTAAAATTATTCTAGGAATACTAATAATACATAGAAAGATATCTATGTATACGCCTTTCATGAAAAAAAAAAAATTCAATTTAAGCTTTAATTGAGCATTTCTTCTTTGTAATATCTGCCAACTCTTTTTTTCTAATTTAAACCTTTTAGCATTAGAAGTTGTTTTATTCGAACTAATAGTTATCTTTGAAGTTAAAATCCCCTTTTTCTTTTCTTTTTTAATTTTCTTTCTGATTGTCTTTGTTTTTGCGTTCATATTTTTAATTTTTTTTTCTGTCAATGAAGAAGAATGTGTCAAATTAATAGATTTAATTAAAACGGGTGATTCAAAAATCATTGAATTATTCTTATTGATTCTTATATCTTTTGAACTTTCACTCAATTCATATTTTTTTTTTAATCGAAATAAATAATTGTGAAGTTCTTTTTTTTTTTCGTTTAAAAAAAAAAAAAAACTTTTGAGAATACTTTTGACAATCCCTTTTACTGTATCTTTTGAAACATTTAGAAAAAGTTTTGTTCTTTCATTTAAAACTCTTAGAACTAAAAAAAAACAAAAATTAACTTTTTTTTTTTTTTTTTGTAGTTCTTTCAAAATAGGGTAAAAAAATGAAAGTCGATTTCGGGGATAACCAGAAAAGGGCAATTCTACTTCCATTCCCGAAATTGTTAAAAAACAAAAGTCCTCTTTTTTTTTCATTGGATCCTTATCCTTTTGGTTTTCAGAGGGTCCTTGCTTAGATCTGTGCCAAGGTTTCAGACGAAAAGGAAATAAGATTTTTATCTGAATACCATCTGTTAACCATTTTTTAGGAAATTCGATTTCGGATAATTGAACGCCATTATAGGTGCATTTAATATACATTTCTCTACTCCAATCCCTAAAATCTTCTGACCATTCGGGAAATTGAAATAATAGTACACGAACAATATTTTTCGTTATTATCAATGAAGGTAATATAATGTATTTTCTAAGAATCGATTGGGTTAGTAATAATAAACCTCTTATTGCTTGAGCAAATATAATGTTATCCCAGGCTTCTGCTATTTCTATACGTCTTTGTTCCTCTTTTGCGTTTTTTTTTTTTTTGTCCTCTTCTTGTTTCTCACTTTTTTTTGTTCTTTTATCTGTATAATCCGAAATTTTAAATTCTGTCTTTTTCCGTATCCAATTTTTGAACAGAAAAAAAAAATTCATTGGTTCAAAAATATCAAGAGAAAAGAATGAAGGTTTCTCAAATTTGTCCAAAAAAAGAGGCGAATATACATTTATTTGAAATAGTTTCAAACTAAGTATTTTACGCCTTTGAGCGCGTATCGATCCTTTTATTATATCTCGCCGAAAATCCGTTTGTTGTGAATAACGTATTAAAGCCAATTCCTTTTTTTTATCAGGATTATCAGCATCCCTAATATCATTAGAAGTATCGTCCTTCTCTAGTTTATTAGTAAAAATTACTACACGTTTGGCTTTTCGCGAACGAATCCCATAACTTTCTGCTTGATTTTTTACCTCCAGTTGTTGCAATTCGTCTATTAATTTATATGACCAGCGAGGAACTTTTTTATTGATTTCTTTTATTCCAATACGTTTTTTTTTATTTACAATTGTTTTATTGTTTGGATCAATTCTAATTGTGTCGAATAATAATTCTATTTTTCTTTTTTTTTCTTCTAAATCCCTTTTTCCTGATTTATGTTCTCGAAATAAATAAAGTGCGTCAAAATTCAAGCTTGATACCGATTTTACCGAAAATTTATTGAT